TCGCATTCTGCGCGATAAGCGCGATGCGCGTTTTGCATCGGACTCGCTCACGGCGACACCCAATGTGCGATAGGCGAGGAGGGTGACGGAAGAAGAGGAGGAGGCGGCGGCGGCGGCGGCGGCGGCAGCGGAGGGTGGCGGGCAGGGTGAGAGGGCGAGGGGATGAGGTGGCAGTGAGCGAGAGATGTGGGTGGGTGGATGATGGCAGGCGGCGGGGGGGAGGCTGGTGAGGACGAACATTCTCCGGAACGGATACGATTGGGAAAACTGTCGATAGCGGACGCACAGCCTCTCCGCGCGCGCTCGGGATGATCCGTGGACCAAATTCGAGGCCGGAGACGACGCCCCTGCATCAACGGCGCGTAACGAGCCGCCGTTTCTCCCCCAGCTCCCTCTAGCCCCCTCGGCCCGCCGACGTCGTTCCCCCCTAAGTGGGCTCGCGGTCGGCTTTAACATGCAAAACGGGCCGCATACCGAAATGCAATTAAAATGCAAAGCAACGAAAGAGACGAAGAGTGGAAGAGGCCGAGAGAAAGGGGGAGGAGGGGGAGGGGGAGGCAGGAGAGAAGGATCGAAATTTTATTTACGTTCGACTGTCTCTCTCTCTCTCTCTCTCTCTCTCTCTGTCTCCCTCTAATAAAAGTCGCGACGCTTTAATTAAAAGTAATTGCGCCCCAGATCTTAGCACGGGGCGGGATCCACCGCGCGGGGGGGGGGGACCGCGTGGATTTACGTTAATCGAATCGCCGGATTAATTATTTAATGTATCTCCGGATAAGCGACGTTTATCGGGAGGCTTAATTTTACGATAGGGTTGGAGGAGCGGCGCCCCGTGCTCGGCGCGCGCGGCTGGCACACGCAACTTTAGACGCGATCTCTCTCGGAGTTTCCCGACCCGAAACGGGGTCTTATACGACGCCGTTAACAATTAATTAGCGAATGAGCCGCGCGGACGAAAATTCCGGTAACTATCGTCGTTGCGGCGTGACGAACAGGAGGAGGAGGAGGGGGAGGAGGAGGACAAGGAGAGGTGGTAGTGGAGGAGGAAACGTGATAGAAACGCGTTCCTCTCGTTGAGTCGATGAGAAGATTCAGAGACTTCTCTCTTCTGCCAGACACGCGTCTCTACGTCACCGTCACACGTTATCGCAACGTTGCGCAATAACGAGACGCGAGCGCGGCGGGAGTCGCGAGTTCCCTCACGCTCCAACTCTTCCTCTTATTATCCGCCGAACGACAGTCGCCGAATTTTCCCCGCTCGTTGCGAGAGAGCTGCGAAATTGGTAAATAAACAAAATCGAAGACACAGCTTAAGTACAGCTTTGCAACGGAAAATGAGCAAAGCACGTCCCCAAAGAGGGGGCAGGCGGTCGAAGAGAGAGACAGAGAGAGGGAGAGTGAAAGGAGGGACGGGAAAAAAGAGAGAGAGAGAGAGAGAGAGAGAGAGAGAGAGAGAGAGAGAGAGAGAGAGAGAGAGGTAGACAGATGGACAAGGAGAAACGAAGAGAAATAGCCGGAGATAAACAGAGAAGGAAATCGTGTGATGACGAGGCGAGCGCGCGGCAAAGCGGAGGAGGAGGAAAAGGAGGAGGAGGAGGGGAGGAGGGGGGAGAAGGTCGAGGAAAGGGGTACGAGGGGATTGGTTTGTGACGGTCGACAGTAACGCGCACGTGGAGAGGCACGTAAGGAGAAGGAGGAGTGGCAGAGCGCGGAGAAAGAGCCTGGACGAGGGCGGCCGCGGTGGCGCGAAGGGTGCGGGGGAGGGAGGGTCGGTGGCGGTGCAGGGGAACGAGGGGTCGTCGGCGCGTTTGGTCCGGGAGCTCACGGGGATGCTGTATTGATCCGAGCGCGGGCTAAAGTAAGCCGAGGCTGGCGGAGGGTTGCCTTGGCAACCCTCGTCGTCCCTCATCCCTCAGGACTCGCCGTCGGCCCGAAAACCACCCCCGAACGCCAACCACCGCTCGCTCCCTGTCTCTTGCTCGCGTTCTCTTGTTCTCTCTCCTCGTTTCTCTCTCTCTCTCTCTCTCTCTCTATCTCTCTCCTTCGCTCTGCGCTCTCCCCTTTCTCCCTCTCTCTTTGTTTCTACTCTCTCTCTCTCCCTCTCTCTCTCTCTCTCTCTCTCTCTCTCTCGCACGTTCTCCCTCTCTGTCCTTCTTGCGCTCTACCTTCTTCCCTTCATCGCCGGGCTCGCGATCTATACGTGCCGAACGAACGCCCGGTAGATGAAGCACGCGTGTATGCGTGCGAGGTCCGTTTTTCCCGGTACTTCGGCTTTCCTTCCGGGATCCTCTCGACGCGCGCCTTTCCATTCGGAAATAACCGAAACAGGAACAGGAACAGCAGCAGCAGCAGCAGCAGCAACCGCCGCGGCCTCGCGTCGTCGTCATCGACAACGCAACGATCACGCCGGTGATTAACCGTCGCGCAAAATTGCTCTCCCGAGCCGAGTATGATTTTGACGGTACAAAATGCGTGCGCTAATGAGTAACGCGATATTAACGAGGGGGAAATGTTAACAATTGGAACGTGTAGCGCTTCCCTCCCGATGATATTTCCGACAATGATTGCGGCTACATTTCGCATTTCCGGAGCGGATTCCCCGTTCCGTTCGGAGTTTGCGGGGCAGGCACGCGTGACGTTTTTAGAAAGCACGGTTTTCGCATTGTTCGGATAATGATGTGCGAGACTCAAGATGACGATAAACACACGCGCGTCAGTAGCAAAAAGCGGCCTAATCACCGTCATGCTTCGCTAATTATCGACTCGAGCGCCGCAGCCGCATTTCGCGCTGGGGACGCGCGCGGCTCCATTCGCGACTTTTTTTCCAGACGGGGGGGATGTTTCTGCGCGAGAGCGCCAAGGAAACGATAAATCTCCCGGCGCTATGGACGCCGCGCTCGACCCAGAAAGATTTCTCGCGCGGCGAGCATCGAGCAAGCGAGGCACATCGCGACGCGTAACAACCTCAACCCCTTCGCCTCGCCGAGTCGCGGCTCAACATCCAGCAAACGCATCGTCGGAATATCGCAGTATTGAAATTTCGATCTGACCGGGAAGTAACGCAACTTCATTCTGCGCAAATCTGCGAGCGCGATATAATTTCCGAACACCCTTGACCTGCCTCGCTGCAGGAAATAACTTGGCGAATATGCGCATTTTTAATTCAGATAAATTCCTCATGAACATGTCGACCGAACCGTGAAAAGCTCCGCGAGGTGAAAGCGAGGCGATAATAATTTCGCGGGAAAAGTCACCCCATTTTCCGCGATTTTCCGTTCCTTCATCTTCGAACACTCTCAAGCCGCGCGACTCGCCGGGAGAGCAATTTCGCAAACATTCTCGCGCGATACTTTTTAAATCCCGACTCAATCTCCCCAATGTGCGACATATCAATAGACTTCTAGGATCTTCATTATCCACCGGGAAGAACTGCCAAGCGAGATTAACGGAAGCGATTAATCTCGCGGTTGCGAATTACAAGACCTTCGACGCACAAATCAGGGCAGATTCTGATTTATTTCAAACGCGCGCTTCGTTCCTCCGCATTATTCGTCCCGTGCATGAAACACCCGCTAGTCCCACCATCGAATATTAATTATCAGTCCTACCCCCGTTAATTAACCCCACCTCTCTCTTCCAACTCCCGCGGAATAAAGTTCGCGCGCGAACGGCCGCCGGTTGAAGGGCTCCGATCAATTTGCGTGTCATGTGTTTACGATAAACGTTCGGGCGCAAAAGTAAAACCAAACGCAGTCGTGGGGTCGCGCGCGCGCGGGGGCGGCGGTGGTGGAAATGCCCGCGGTGATTCACTACGGCGGACTCGGGGACTGTCGCCGAATTGTCTCGGCATCCCCGCGTAACACGTCATCCTCGTCGTTGTCGCAGACTCGCCGTGTTTTTGCGTCAACGCTAACGCGCGCCCGTTAATCGTATTCAACGACGATGTATGTCCGCGGCGGCGTAAGCGCGCGACGTACGGTCGATCGGGGGAGCGAAAATCTCAGGGGTGCCGAGAGAAAGAGAGAGAGAGAGGGGGACAGAGAGAGAGAGAGAGAGAGAGAGAGAGAGAAGGGTGTGCGAGGAATCATATCGGGAGATAAAACAGCGCACACGAACGGATCGTTGGTTCTCCGAAAGGCGAAAGTCAACGTGCCGCGCGAAGCTTGGCGCTTCGACCAACGTTGGCTGCGAGACGCTGCGAGAGTTGGGGCGAAAAATGTGGGAAAAAAGGAAACGAAGGCAAAGAGAGCAGAAAAGAGAGCGCGAAACGCGACCGTTTCGGCCGTTTCGGCGAGCGCAGCGCGCTATTTTACGACGTCGCGCGCGACGAGCGACGACGACGCTTTCATAAGCACGCATTGATTGAAGTATGCATTCCGCGTAGCCATTAACGACGACGACGCGTTTATCGTCGCGACGATCGTCGCGATAATGGAATCGCCGGGAGAATACGCGTCGATCCGTAGCGAGCTAGCGGGGGAAGTCGCGAGCCGGCAAATGTGGGCCAAGCGCGTCCTCGTCGAAGATTCTACTCGACGGCGCGTCTCGCGTCGCTGCCCGCCGACTTTCCGCTCGTGAGCGCGTCTCCTGCAAGGGTTGCCGCGCTCCAATCGCCCGGGAAGAATCTCTCGTCTAAATTGGAAATCGCGGGACTCTTCGTCTTCGGGGAAATATCTGCTCGCCGCTCGCGCGACGGCGCGTTTTTCCGCCCGGGAACGTTCGTTTTCCCTCGGAGGGCTTCCCGGCCGGAAACAAGTCTCGCCCGGCGAATTTGGCGAAATTGCCGCCGGATAAAAGTGCTCTCAGCACGGTAACCGGCTTCTCTCGCCGGCTTCGGACGCGCGCGCGCGCGAGTTTCCTTTTCGCGTATGGTAAGAAGACGCGTGCGAGGACCTCCGGCTCGATCCACCAGGGTACGCCAGTCGATGGTCCAGCGCAGCATCCAACGTCGCAGCGGGCGCACCCTGGCACACGGCGGCCGAATTAATTCGGGGGTTGGCACCCTCTCTCTGCGCAGAAGCTCGCAAACAACGAGAGAAAGAGACGCGCGCGCGTGCTCCTGACGCTGTGTGATGCACCTCGCACGGGCGCGATAATTTCCGTCCAGGACAAATTTATCCACCGTCACCGAGACGGCGAAAGGAAGCCGGGGAAACGATCGACGTCGAGCCGACCCGTCCGAGCGAGAGTCGTCCTGCGAACGGAAAGGACTCTCTTCTTTTCTCCCTCTCTCTCTCTCTCTCTCTCTCTCTCTCTCTCTCTCTCTCTCTCTCTGTCTACGCGAGGAGAAATTCGCGCGGTCGTTCCCTGCGCGGAACGTCCATGTCGCCGGTCCTGCGAATTAAAATGGCTGTGATTGGCCGAGTCGACCGCGAGTGACTCTGAAGAACGGACGACGGGAGGCCTTGGACGGATCGGGATCCTCTTCGCCGAGGATCCGGACACCGGTTCTTCGCGCTGCGGTTCATGAGGTACGGAGGGGCGCGGGCGGAGGGATGACCCGCTGCGCGCTGGTGCGCAAAAAACTTTGCTGATCGCCGGGCCCTGCGCCCCGCGGGGGGAGGAGGAGGAGGAGGAAGAAAATCGTCGGTAAGTGTTCCACTTGCTATCGATTGCGTGCGTTAGGCCGGCCGATGACGCCTTGCCGAATGGCGGCGGTTAATTACGCTTGAACGGGCAGATCGAGGCGAGAACTCGTCGGGAATTGAAAGGAGGGTAAACGGCGACGTTTAAAATACGAAGCGTGAAACTGGCGAAGAGGAAAACGAGGTCCTATCGGATAAATTAGCATGAGAAGGGAAATTCTCCAGGGCGACTGCTCGATTCGCGGCGAAATCGGAGGTACGTGAGTCGCGCGCGTCGGTGAGATAAACCCGAGCGCGATTGACGATTGACTCGCGCGCGGAAAGAACGAGAAGAAGGTCGAACGTATGCGAAGAGAAGGAGATCGGATTTCCGAAAAGCGCGACTGTGTGTGCACGATTTGCGATTTCAGATATCAAAGACGAAGAGGAGGAGAGATCGCTCGGTTGAGTGCGAGAGAACTCGCGAGCTCGCGAAGGATGAGGTCCTACGACGGCGAGAGCAGTTCGACGGAGGATGATGATCGTCGGGAGGGTCTGCCGGAGGCGCACCTCCAGCAAGGATCCTGGCAACGCTCGGCGTCGCATCCTACTTGGGCTTGGGAGCACCGCAATGCCGTAAGCAACCCCGAAAACAACTGTAACCTAGTACGTTGAAATTATCCTGCGTAAAGCGCGTGAGAAATTCCAGCGTTTCTCAGCATGAAACGCTTCTGCAATCAACACTTTGCGCCTCCGTAGATTCTCCATCCGCGCAAGGAGCAACGGGAATCGCCCGCGGAAGCGGCGATCTTGTCCCCAGCGTATCCTTCGTCCTTTAAGCCGATCTACTTTTCCGCTCGAAATTCTGCCTATCTCCTAAGACACGCCTGTTTATCTGCCTGTTTATTTGCAGCATCCACTGCCTCCGCAATCCGCGGCGTCTCTCGAGTCCGTCTACTCGACACCTGGCGCCTCGCATCCTGGTGTCTCGGCTCCACCGGCGGCGTACTCGTCGGAGCATACGCAGAGCGCACCTGGACGGAGGACCCCGCTGGGCGCCGTCGGCCTCGGCGGCTTTTATTTCCAGCAGCAACCCCAACCGCACGCCTCGTCGAGCGCGTTGTCCGACGAGAATCGGCCCGACGAGAGGTACGTCCGTCGGTATTTCGAGGTTTGCCTGAATTCCCACGAGAGCGGACAGGCGGCCATCTGGCGATCCGCGGATAAAACAAGATTGAAGAGAGGCGGAAATACGCGCGCGGTTCGAAGAATGCGTATTTGCATTCTTCGTTGCGAGAAACATAATCGCATGCGAACATGTTTGGAAGATCCGGTGAACGTAATCGAGAATAAGGATCCGATGGTATTTCATTATTAGAAAGGAAATACCGAATTTTGGCATTTTACTCGTAATACGAAGATGCGTCGAGTATCCTCAATTAATGAGATCGGTGCACGTAGACCCGGAGCATCGCGACTCAACTGCCCGCCAAAGTCGAAGACGACTCGTCAGGGGAAGAGCGTGAGGCTCAACATTAACGCGCGAGAACGCAGGAGGATGCACGACCTGAACGACGCGCTGGACGAGCTTCGCTCCGTCATCCCCTACGCCCACAGTCCCTCAGTGAGGAAGCTGTCCAAGATAGCCACTCTTCTGCTGGCGAAAAATTACATTCTCATGCAAGGTAACCAACTGATCTAGCGCGATATGTCGCACACGACGTGCGACATCATCGCGTTTTTCTCCCCGTTATGTGCTTTTCTGGTCTACCTCGACTCAACGAACCGACCGATTACTATCGCGATACTCGCAGGAAACGCCTTGGAGGAGCTCCGAAGAGTGATAGCCGTCCTGCAATCGCCGCACGCTCACACGACCGCCCTGCCGCCCACGCCCGTCTCCTACGACCTGCTTCAGGGCTTCCCGGGCAAGCTGTTCCAGGGGGTCCAGGAGATGCAAGGGCTTCCAACGGGCGACCCTCAGATCGTGACCGCCGGAGGCCCGCCGACCGACGGCACGGTCGCCAGCGGGGAATCTAATTAAGGAACTCGGTCCATTTTTGTCACGACTGCTGCGAGGATTCTCTCGCTCGTCCGTGACGTTTTTCTTCCCCGCGAGAGAGCAACTTGGGCTTGGGTTCGTGCTTGGGCCAAGCTGCGGGCTCAGAGTGACGAAACTGAGCCGACCACGGCGAGAAACGCGAACCGCCAGCGCGCGGAAATCCTTCAGATAATCTAAGTTCCAGAGAGACGATTGTAACGAATAATTTACACAAAATCCTGTCTCGCGAGACTTTTAGACTGCTTGCTACACGGGAGGGTCGAGTCTCGAGAGAGTACTCGAAGAAACGGGCACGCCTTTGGCCATGAAAGTATTAATTATTAGAAAGTATTAATTCTTACCGAAGCAAGCACACACACACACACACACATACACCGATTAACCCGTCCAAGGGGCAAGCTTTCCTTTTTAATATTCACGCAAGCAGTCCTTGTTTGTCGGAGGATTAAAACGTTCTAAGTCGAAGGATCCGTGTCGCTTCATTTCTTCCGTGGCAAGAGTTACTATGTTATGATCAAATTAAACAGACGAAATAAACGCGCGTCGAGAGGTGTTATCGAAAAATGGGCGAGTTATTGAAAGAGATCAAAATTAGACGGAAAGATTAACTGGAATAAGAAATTGAAGCAACACTTCTCCACGGAAGGAATCAAACGCACGTTGATTCCAACGGGCACCCCCGTTTTCTTGTCCTTGAAGGGGCTGATCGGGCTCGTCTCGACGTCCGAATAAGGTTTGGGCGAAAGTAACGCGAAAGTATGGCGAAAGTACTAGTGATTAAGCGATTAGCAGTCTAACGATCCTACAGCCAATGATACAGCAATAAGACAAAGGCGCGTCCTCCCGCGCGTCCTACAGTCTATTCCCAGAGGAACAGAATTTTCACCAGGATATCGGTCGCGCGACTTTCCTCTAAGAGCGAAGGAAGTTACTCGCAAACTTTGCAGAGTCACGATCGCCCCGCCATTTTTCGCACGAGAGCGAAGGAGAACAATTGCGGAAGAGCCTTGCGTGGGAAGTCGCACGGTCGTTGTCCAGGACAACGCTCGGCGAGGAACGGACAGGAAGTGCGAGGACGTCGCCGGGACTTGGAACGTGGAAACTTCCAGGTCTCGTCGTGAAACTTGATAGTCAATATTAGTATGTGATACGTGTCGAGGAGTTCTAGTCATATACAACATAAAGATATTGAATATTCATATACACATATACAATAAAAAAATATATATACATATACATATATATATTTAATAATCTAAACGAGGCATCGACTTACGACTTATTTATATACTTAAGAGTCTACTACAATGTGCCGAAGATTTATCTGCTTCGTGTGTGAGCGCGAGTGAGAGAGTGAGAGAGTGAGAGAGTGAGAGAGAGAGAGAGAGAGAGAGAGAGAGAGAGAGAGAGAGAGAGAGAGTGTGTGTGTGTGTGTGTGTGTGTATGCGTGTGCATGCGTGCATGTGTGTGATAATGTGTGAGGAGAGGAAAAAACAAAACGTGTGCGCGAAAGAGAGAGAAAGAGAAAAATGAGAGTCGAATGAGCAGAAGCTATGCGTAAAAGCACAAAGTCGTGCGATTCTTGCGAGGTCCGAATTTTCTCGGTGGGCGCGAGGACGAAGCAGCGTCAACGAAGGCAAGGATATTTGTTGTAGAGCGTAGATCTAATTGTTTAGTGCTCTCGAATAAAATCTATTTAAGAAAATCGCACGTTATCGAGTCGAGCCGAGGCACGTTTTCTTCCCGATTTCACCCCGAGACCTGTTTTCCACCGAATTCGACTCCATTTCTTTCTCGAGCCACTTCATTTTTTTATTTACGTATCCGTCGAGATCCGGCTCGAGCTTACCCCAATACTCGGTGATTATTCCCGTCCGATCGTTCATCGCGTCTCTTGTAATCTGACATTTAACCTCGAAGCATCACGACACGGTCGAAAGGGAAAATTCGCTTCGCGAGGGCAAAGCTCAGTCTCGCGAGACTTGGCTGAGGCGTTCCGCGTGACGTCCACGTCATCTCCGTCGCTTCAGCGAGGAAACCACCTCTCCGACCGACTTTCTCCGCCGAACGAAACTCGAACGATACGACAACAGTCAGTCAGCGACTTTAAAAGTTGGCGCCTCGGAGGTGGCGCCGCTTCTCGACCGCGGGCGAAAGCTTCCGTTTCAAGGTCAGCCAAGCGTTCTCCTCGCCGTCGCAAAAATATCATCGGGATTCCCTAAAACGGGCCTCGCTGGCGTTGCTACCCAGGTCGCTTCGAAAAAGATCTACGCAAGGAAGCGGCAGCGAGTCTCACCTACGCGCTGATAATCGCGGTTATTGGAGCTTGCTGACACAGCCGCAATGGCGGCAGCGGCAATCATGTGGCGCCACCATGGCGCGTTCGACGAGCTCGACGAGTTCTCACTCGGCCTCCTCCCGTCCCGGCAAGAGGATAGGCTAACAAACGCGACAGACAGGCAGGCAGGCAAGGAGGCAGGCAGGCAGGTCGTGCCGTTTGTGCGTGCGTGCCCCCTCGACTCCAAGATGGCTTTGCCCGGAGCGCCGCAGCGATAACCACGGGAGAAAAAGAGCGCCTAGCAACCCGGCTAGATCGTTGAGAATAACCGAGTGAATCCGGAGGTGAGGTGAGAGAGAGAGAGAGAGAGAGAGAGAAAGAGAGAGAGAGAGAGAGAGAGGGGGGGGGAGAGAAATCGTCGCCAGCACGACGGTCGCCACGACGAGGACGGCGACGACGAGGAGGAAGGCGGCCAGTGACGTCCTCAGCGGCGCGGAAATGTGACGCTCGTCAGTGGACCGGTGAGTGCTTTAGTCGACTTTAAATAGGCTCTGCTAGAATCCGCGATGCCTTTTCGGAGCCGAAACATTACGATGGCGTAGTTGCTGATGACGAGAGCGAAAGAGAGAGGGAAAGGAGCGACGAGAGAGAAAGAGTGAGCGGGTGAGCGTGTATGTATGTGTGTGTGTGTGTATACGGACGGTACATGTGTATATGCGCGCGCGTGCGTGCGTGTGTGTGTGTGTGTGTGTGTGTAAGAGAGAGAGAGCAAGGGCGAGTGAGTAAGGGAGAGGGAGAGAGAACTGATCTCGAAGTGGGAGACGGAAAGAGAGAGAGAGAGAGAGAGAGAGAGAGAGAGAGAGAGGGGGGCGGGGGTGGGGGGAGGGAAAAAGATGGGAAGAGAGAGAGAGAGAAAGACATATTGTTGAAGATACATTGTTAACCGTCTAGATATTGCAACTTGCGAAATGAAGTGGTCACGGTGAAGAGGTTTCTCCTAGCCGTGCCACTTCGCGAGAGGCCCAGGACACCAGTGGGCCGCAGGTGCAAAAGTGCGGGCCCAGCATTTGACGCGTATGACACGTCGCAAACTGTCCGCGGCCGATTGTTCGGCGGGACACGAGACGCGTTTCGTCACGTTCCGTTTGGTAAATATACACGGAGAATGACGCGCGCGCGCGCGTTCGTCAGACGCCTCGGCATTTTCAGACGCGAGGGGGAGAGAAGGAGAGCGAGCGGGCGAGTGCGAAATTGTTCCTCTCTCGTTCTCCTTGGAACTTTTCAATCGGGAGTCTCACGTTGATGAAACTTCTCCTTGATGTAACGGCCCTCTCTCTCTCTCTCTCTCTCTCTCTCTCTCTCTCCCCCTCTCTGTGTGTGTGTCTCTGTGTTTCTGGTCGAGAAGTATATCTCTGCATCGTTCGATCGTTCAAGTCGAAAACAGCGTATATATATACACCTCGCCTTTGTGCCCGTGTATGTACACCTTGTATAGTCCAACTTGAACGATCAAAGCGGCGCGACAGGAGAAACCTCGTGCAGAAGCGTGTCTGTCAAAACGGAGAACACGTAAGGGTGATCCAGGCTTTGACAGACGAGCCTCAGGAGCGTATCCGAAACTCGCACCTGAAACAAGAAAGGAACAGCTTGCGCAAACGCGGCGGTTCTGACGGCCGCTTCTGGCCCAAAATCTCCTAGTGAGCAAGAGAGAGAGAGAGAGAGAGAGAGAGAGAGAGAGAGAGAGAGAAACAAACATCGCTGAAAATCTAATACAAGCGCGACGCGGCTTGCAAATTCGGCGAAATTGTTCATGTTCAAATAGTTTGGCAATTGGCCGCAATAATAATAAACGTAGTATCGTTCGTTAGATTACACGTTATCTCGGTGGTTCGCGATTGCGCACGGAATCTTCATCCAGACGCGACTACATTTCGACGCTGGAAGACACTTATTCCAAGCCCGAATCTCGCGCGCCTCATCGTCGGCTCCATCTGGGCTCCGGTAATAATTAAATTGTCGAGAATTGCCCGAGAGAACGGGGACGAGAGCAAGAGAGCGAGAGCGAGAGCGAGAGAGAGAGAGAGAGAGAGAGTGGCTCCGCCAGTTAAGATAAACAGAAAGACACGCGCATACAGAGCGGAGCTTGTGTCTAGACGAGAATACGTCGCGACCAACACAGATAGCGCGATCGGCTGCGCGCGCGCTCTGTTTATAGCTTTTTTATATTCTCGCCTGTGGAGGATCTCGACCGGACGGCAATTTCGTCGCGAATTCCGCCCGCGACGGAATGAGCTCCACGATACTCGTCGAGCAGAGACAAAGCATTCCGCCGTGATCCTCCGGGCACGATCGCTCGATTCTCAGCCGTCGCGAGCCGACTATAGTTTCGCCCACCCCGTATATAATCAGTCAGGTCGCGAGTTTCCGCGGAATATTTCAGCTCATATTTAGCCGACGACGCACAACCGCGAGAGCACAATGGAGGACGCGCTTCTTTTGCTTGGCGAGAGCGGCTGAATGGGGCGGCAGTACGTAGTATCGCGGCGCGCGACGTACCAATGCGCGTAATTAGAAAATAAACAACACGCGTAGGCGGCGGGGGGAAAGGAAGGGGGATCGTGACAGGCGTGAGACGGCGCGCCGGGGCCATTTAAACACTTCTGTCTACTGATCCGCGGGGATCCTGAAGGATCCCCGCGGGGGATACAGAACGCGCGACGGGACGCGAGCTTCGCCTCGCCGGTCGAGTCAGCCTTCTCCTCCTTATCCTCCTCCTCCTCCTCCTCCGGACAGATCGTCCTCGATTTGCAGGCGACCGGACCGGGGAGTCGCCGATCGCTTCGGCGAAGCCACAAAGTCCGCGCTGCTGAAATTTCTATGTAATCTCGACGACTTGCACAACCCCAGCCTCCGCGCGTATATTTCGTCGCATTTTATCGCTTTCTGGATACTTATCGTATTCGTGCGGAACCTTCCCCTCACTCTTCCTTGCTTAACGTTAAAAATATTCCAGCCTCTTCGTGGTTATCAAAATGCATACTTGCATTTTTATTATCGTTACTCGCCCGTATGCCCGGGCGACTGCACGAGGGAATCGGAACAGATCGACTCGCGGTTTCGGAATTAATTGCATTAATTTAATCGGCGAGCTTGGTATTACGCGGCGATTATTTTTTCCCGCCTCCGCAACATATTTCCCCGTGTGTGGAATGTATCCGGAATCGTCGACGGAACGATCGCGACTCGGCCGACCGATCAACTACAGATCTGACGTCAGTTGAGAGAAAGAGAGGGGAGGAGAAAGAGGGGGAGAGAGAGAGAGAGAGAGAGAGAGAGAGAGAGAGAGAGGGAAAGAGGGATCTTTTCCGCTGCCGAATGAGAGAACTTATATCCGTATTCATAGTCCTTCCTTGAGAAATAAGGATTCCTTATTCCTCATTTTACATTTCATAAACCTTCTTTGACCAAACAAGGAACCTTACTGGCTCCCTTATCTCAAGGGGAGTCACGAGCTTCCTTGAGGAGGAAATGTTACCTTAAATCTGTTCGTTCTCGCTGCACTTCTGAACTCGTGCACAAAAGTGCAATAAGTTTTTAGAACATGATGCGCAGAATAAACTAAACATAACCTGCAACACTTACTTTCGTCCCATTACAATTTACTTGTGATGTCGCGCTTTCAAACTGAAAGTATATAAAGGAGAAAAAGGATAACGGACAACGAATTTTTAAATGATTCTGACGAAGGATTATTTTTTTTTTTTCGACAAGCTGCACCGAGAGCATTCGCTCTTGCTCCGTATAATGTATGCTTTTATTATCTTTATCCATATGCACTGCTAAATTGATGCTAGGTTATAGCTGCGTTCCGATATCCACTGCTAGTACTAAAAATCTATAGCTCGTGTCATGTATATTATAGAATTTCAGTACTGACAGTAATGAATATCAGAACGCAGCCTTCCTTCCTTCTCGAACGAAGACTCGAGAGATCCATTTATGAAATAAGGTGGCCTTGGAGATTCAAGGAATCCTTCATCGAGGCTTTCTCCATCCTTAAGATAAGGAAGGATTATGAATATCGGTATTAATCTCACCGCTCGATTAGGTAAAAGACGAAGTT